TGGCCGTGCGGGGCGGGCAGCAGGGCTCCCCCGCGGACGCGCAGGCCGGTGCTCGCGCCACGCCGGCCACTCGTGCTGACGCCTGCAGCGCCTTCCTCAGCCGCCTCCCGTGCACCTTCGCCCGTCTCCCCTTCGGGCTCCGGTGCTCCTTTAAGAAGCTGCAATTACTCCGCAGTCATTGCCACTTTAATATGTCTTTCCTTCATGCCCCTGCTTTGTATGGTTGAATAAACCCTTACCGGGTCACTATTTAATTTGATATGGTCCCTCTCAGTAAAATGATGGAGAAAAGATGAATTAAGGCTCTGTGCTAGTCATTATCAATCATGGTTTGTGTGCATTACTTATTGCTCACAGTGCTTTTTGACATTAGCCCTCTATAACCTCTCTCTTCATGTTAATGTTGTCTGGAGGTCCTTTTACCCGATGTAGCAGGGGTTATTTATGTAGGTGGTGTTTCTAGGAGGGATTGAAAGGTCAACGCGATCTCCTGAGGGACTCTATTCACAAAGGAAGGGCTGGTGCAATGCAACTGCAAGTTTTCAGATTGTGATTTTTTTGAGGACTTTTAATGGAGAGGCATCAGAATTTCATACTTACTGAAGAAAAAAATTGGCAAAATAGGAGCTAATGTATACTACTGTCCCTAAACCAAATATTCTTAGTGGATCCATGAGGAAGCTCTAAACTACTTTAGAAATTCCTGTATTTGACCATGTCACAAAATGTAGATTGCAAGTATCTCTCAGCTGCCTGTGTCAGTGTGCAGACTGGCATGAAACAGAGTTGGACTGTTTGATTTTAAATTCTATGTGTTACTGTTCAGAAATGAAAAGTTTAATGCATTCGTTTGTCAGAAAGAAATGACAGCTCCCGTTTTTTAATTGAGATTAGATATAAACAACTTTGAATGCTTTTGGCATTCACCTTTTTTCAATGTTTTGTTTTAGATGAAATGTTGACATTTTGCCGAATCTTAAGTTGTAACAGTATTGTCTTGATTGTCAGAGAAAGTGCGAATACAGGAGACCTTCCTGAATCATGGGATTTGCGGTTCAGACATGGAAGGTGCGCTATGAGGAGGGCTGGCGTGGTGCTCTTCCAGCCTACCATTCCCTGGTTAGTCAGAGACACTTCCAGAACCATGAAAGAGTTTACTTTTTGGTGCTGAAAACAAAAATTAAGTGGGCATTTACTCACAGCCAAGACAGGGTGTTCTTTCTGAGTAGAGCAGCAGTTAAAAACAAAAAATTGGCTCTCCTAGGCCAAAAATAATAGGGATTAAGAGAAATTAATCCATTTCTGAATGTAGTCATCAGCTGCTTTTCAGAGTAGGGAACTGCTAGGACTTCCTCGCTAAATACAGCTTTTTTTTAGACCTAGGCAAGTTTCACTGACTTCAGAAAACCCCAAAACTGAAAAGTTGTGTAGGCACCTATAAATATCAGCAAACAACAGACAATTACTAATATCTGTAAAGGTCCCTGAGGAAATCCAGATCGTGATGAGGACATTCACTGCCCATAGCGCGTTACCTGCCGTGATGGACAGGTCATGGTGTCCATTGTGTCCATAGCAGATCTGAAGAAGTTACTGTTGCTTTGGGCTTTAGGGATTTCTGGTCATGTCCAAATATATTCTGAAGATACCATACACTTCAGTGACAGTATAGGCAATGCTCTGCATGTTGTTGAACAGATAAGACACATAAGAACAGCCAGTATGTCCTGGATCTGTTCTCCTCCCTCCAGTAATGGCACATTTGTGCTAGTCACCGTTCTGTAGGTATTAGTCTAATGTCAGAAATCACTTGCAGCCACTGGAGATGAGAGAAAGGAATGCGTGTCCAGGCTTCCAGGTGTGTTCAGGAATGTGTGTTCAGGTTCCAAAGAAAGGTGACCGGTTGCTAGCTGTGGGTCTTAGCACATGGTCTTTATCCATCTTTATGTTAAATTCTTAATGAGAAGTCCTTCTTGCCCTCTCAGGCCATGAGGTTTACAGCTCCAATAGCTGCCCACGTTATGATGAGGTCACTCACTGGGAATGTGCATTTGGGGCTCTCCCGAGACCTGCATCCTTTGCAGTTGTAGCAGAGATCAGATCAATGATTCTCCTTGAGCTTTGCCTGGTTTGAGGAAGGTTATACAAACAGGTAACTTGCCTGAAGTAATCCCAAAGATCTGGGCCCCAAGGCATAGAATTTCTCTTTCTGGGTGGCATATAAAATATGCAGTTTTGTCTTTCTTTGCCACCATACTTCAGTTAGGCCTTCATCATTCTGTAGTACTAACAGATGGAGGTACCTCAGGTGCACCCTAATTCAGCTGTCTGCGGAGAACAGAAGGAAACGTCTCATGAAGTTCTGGGGTGCCTGCTTTTCTCTACAAAGGAAGGACTCACGTAGGGAGAGAGCCTTTTAATGAAGGCCTAAACAGGAGATCTTGCAGTCAAAGGTTCTTGACACTTGGTTTCATCAAAACAATACCCGTTTCTGTGCTGTCTGCAGTTACTCGGTTGATGCAGTGAGCTGCCAAGGTTCACCAGGTCAGTCTACATGGGGTGGGAGCTTTACTCATGTTCAGAAGCAAAGTCCATTACTGCTGTGTAATCCTGTTGTGTATAGGAAGTCTTGTTCTTTTTGTCCCTAAGAAAGCTTTGCATTTGACTAAATGTTGGTTTGGTTAATGTCATTAAAGTCATTGAAGTCTTTGCAGATTATGTTTGAGGTATCACTTTGAAAACAAACCAAGATGGGCATCTGTAGAACTTCCAAAGGGTGTCTGGTAGGTTGAATGTGGTCTCCATACCAAAATATACTCTTGAGACATTTAAACAGTCATAAGCATGTTTGACAGGAAAGGTGTCACATAAAATATTTATTTATTTATTTTTAAAAAATCAACCCTCTTTTTTTCTTGAATTCATTATTAATTGTCAGAAATATTAATGTATTCTTTTGCTTTGGCCTTCCTCCTGCATCATCAAGAGTATTCAACAACACAGTGAGGTGCTTCAGAGCAGTGCAGAATTAAAAAATGTCCATGGGAGATCCCCAGTGCAGGGGGGTGAACTGTAGGACCTCGTCAGCAGGGCGAGGAAGCGGGAGGTTCCCCCGGTAGATGTTCCACACCCGTCCTGAGGTCACACTGCGGGTTGGGACATAAATCAAGAACAGAGAACAGGAACGTCACTTCCTGTGTGTCCGTCCATGTTATCAAACAGAAGGAATTGCTGGATAAAGCACTGTGTGCACTACATAAAACAGCATGTAAAAGTACGCAAAGACACGCTGCCAAATTTTATAGATAGCTTTTTACTATTTTTTTCTAGAAAATTATGAGTTCTGAATTTGAATGCCATCAATGAAATAACCCATCACTTATGGGTAATACAATACAAGTCTATTTTTCTGTTTGCAGATAAAAGAGAAAAAAAGAATATAAGACTTCACATTCAAAACCAAGATATAACTCTCTCACTAAAATAAATGTGTTAAAGTCTTCATAAGTGTATTTTGAATGCAAAAAAGATCTGGCGGGAGAGGGACAGACAAAAATACTTGGGGCAGGTCAGCTCTGGAAACCGTGCAGTACCTGGGGAGAGCTTGGAGAGGATGAAGGATGCTGCACTGTGACTGATACTTTATTTGTAATAAGTGGTTGCAGTCTTTTGCCACAAAATCATTGACATCATTATTTAGGCCTGTCTACTGCAATATTCATTATCAGGGAACATTAGCCTAGCCCCACATCCAGTGTAACAGAGAATAAATAGGATGCAGAATCGTGTCTTCTGGTGGGAGGTTGTAATTTATGGCTTAGGAGTGCGCTGAAAAAATCCCTCACTGCACAGGAAGTACCAGACCTCGGCAAGAGCTGATTTGTGGCCTTCTCGCGGACGCTGCAGTTTTGATAAATGCAACGTTTTACCATTATTTAAATTCCCGTTAACTTTTATAAAAATACTAGGCGGGTTAGCTCCATGGAAGAAATAGCTTTCTAGCGCATCTCATTCATTTTACTTCCATGTAAATCTTTGATGACATCTTACAGTTTAGGCAAAATCACCAAGAAGCGAAGACATTTACGCATAGCCAGTAGGAATTTGTTGTTTCAGGGCAAGCATGAATATAGGTGTATAGATGTCTGAACTGAGTACCTTTCATCTGAAAACTACTAGAAACCTTGAGGGAAAGGACTTTTATTAATTTTTCACTGAAGTTTATGTTTGTGCTCAAGTACCAAAAATCTAAATAATTCCAGGATTCTGAGATAGAAAATATGTTTTCAAGCCTCTTCAGCAAGCATTTAGTTTTTATTAGTTACACTGTATGGATGAAGATGGTTTATTTTCAAGTCTGTATATTTTGCTTTTATGCTAATCCTTTACTTAAAATGATGGATTATTATTTGTTTGTTTTTCAGTGCAAGTGGTCCAGAAAAGGTTTCATCCGAACAAGATGGTGTATTACTGACTGGTATGTTGCATCTTTAAGTTATTTCTGGTTATATTTACATTAGCTGTCTTTTTGCTAACAGCTGTTTCAAGTGAAGTATTCACACACTTAAATAATAGATTGGTTCTGGAACAGACACTTAGCTATATAAAGTATATATAATGCTCCGAGAGTTGTGGAGACACATGGCAAATGCGATGATAATGTTTATATCTATGTACCGTTAGCATGGGATAAATCTGGTGCAGACACGGTTCCCCTTGAACTCATTCCTTAAGGCCCAACTGAGTCACCGCTGAAGTCAGTGGAGGGACCCTGCCTTTAAAGAATGCTCAATTCCCACTATAACGCTGTTATGGAAGATGACTTTCTGTTTGCCGTATTCAGGTCAGGATTCCCATGTTAAGCCTGGAGCTTGGTCCTCTTCTCCCTGAGGCTGCTCCTTGCCACCTCCGACAGCATAAAGCAGGTCCGAGCTCGCTGGTGGCGCTGGTGGCGGGGCCGCAGAGGCAGGAGCATCTCCTGCTGGATTGGCAGCTGCTCAGGAGCTCTCCGTGGAGCAAGGCTGTCCCAGATGAGCTGAGCCTGGCTGTTGTCAAAGCAGAGTCCCACCCATCATGTGCCATGGACGTCTGAAGAAGAAAGAGGCACTTTATGCTCTTTAGGTTACCCAGAAGACAAATGGGAATACAGGGAACAACTAGGGGAACATAGAAGTTGAAGATCTTTGTGGTGATAGGTGTTAAATGAGTTCCTTGGGAAGAAGCAGTACCAGCCAACATTGGGAAGAAAGAGATGTATTTCACAACAGTTTACTATCTTGGCCTTGAAAATTCTGTCTTCAGTAAAAATAGTAGTAGTATTATGTTGTAGTAGCAGTATATGCATCTGCCTGTGCAGATCAGTGTACTTCACTTGAGCATGTTCTTTGTCTCCGTGCAAAGAGATTTCAATTAATCATGCAAAAAAAAACCCCGGCTCCTGCTGATGACTGATCAGCTTGTTCCCCCCAGCTCGTGCAGTTGGAGCCTCCTGCCCCGCTGCCGCAGAGCTGTTAAACCCTACGGTGAGGCCCCGGTTCGTGCTCCGGGCGCCCTCGCCAGTGCGGGGACCTCTCCACTGCTGTGTGTCTCACAGGCCTCCCCGACGCCCCCGGCACGCTGACCACGTTTTAGTCCTGCTTGTGATACGCACTGCTTATTTGTGCTGTAGTCAGGGAAATGGGGGTAAATATTCCACATTTTTCCATTCTTCCTGTAGCCATTTCACCTCTCAAATGAAGGCTGGCTTTACAGTCTGACGGCTCTTCATATGGGCTCCCTTCGGAGTGCCATCCCATGGCCATGCTTGCTGTGCAAATAAGCACATGCAAAAGGCTGAGCAAAGAATTTTGTGACTGATAAAAGGAGAAACCTGTGGCTATTTTACAGACTTCATTTTGACAGAGAAGTCAGGCCGGTGGCCGTGGGTTAGTTAAGGTTCTTGTTAGTCTTTGCAGATCCGAATGGAGTGGCAAGTCAGCCCAGCTGTGCAGCGCAGGTCTGCAGAAGAGAGCATCTGGCCTCTCACTTCACGAGAGCCTTCTAGGTTTGGTCTCTCCCATTCTCTTGGATTTCCTATTTGTAGAAAAAAAAAATAATTTGGCTTTGATTTTATGCCCTTCCAAGAAGAAAACCCTCTGTTTTTCACGATTAGGTTTAAAGGAAATGTGTTCTTGAGGCAGGTATGGGGAAGGGATGGCTCTTGGCAGGAGCAGTCCCTCGCTGGGTGTCATGCCCTGTTCCTGCGCTGCGCGTGGGTGTCGTGAGGGCCTGTGCAGGGCCAGGGGGCAGCGTGAGGGCAGCACCAAGGCCCTGCGGAGCGAGGCCAGCCCTGCTGTGCCGTGTCACAGCGCGGGGACAGCTCCAAGGCCCTGCGGAGCGTGGCCGGCCCTGCTGTGCCGTGTCACAGCACGGGGACAGCTCCAAGGGCACGGGGGCAGCTCTGCAGAACCGCGGAGCGAGGCCGGCCCTGCTGTGCCGTGTCGCAGCGCGGGGGCAGCTCCAAGGCCCTGCGGAGCGCGGCCGGCCCTGCCGCCCTGTGTCGCAGCACGGGGACAGCTCCAAGGCCCTGTGGAGCGTGGCCAGCTCTGCCGCGCCGTGTCGCCCGCAGCCCTACGGATGGTGCTTGAGTAAAAGGATGTCCAGGAGAACTGCTATCAACGATTGTTGATACCCCCTGTAAATTCCTGAAGGGAACCGCTAACCTTTCTCCTGCCTAGGAGAACACTACTGTAGCATGTGTTCCGTGCCAGAATCAGAGAGTTTCCCCAAAACGAGAGAAAAATGCCCTAACAACGTCTCAGAGTGTGTCCTCTTCTCTTTTTTTTTCCTCCTATCCTTTTTGCTCTTTTTTACCTCCTGGACACTCTGTAATTTCATTTTAAAAAGGTATTAAAGAGAATTGCATGTATTTTTTGACTATTTTGAATGTAGAGAATTTTTTTTTTTACCTCCATAGTTCTTGTGTTAATAGATACAAGACAGTGCCCTGAATAAATTACTGTCTAAGTACAAATTTCATGTATAGATGATACTAGGTACCAGTCACAGAGTAGAGAATCCATTTACAGGACATAGATATGGTCCCAGTCTGAAGACATCAGAGTCAGCGATCAAAAGTGTGTAAATGCTTCAGAGAAAACTGCATTGCAACGTGAAATTCAGGGAAGCGCAGAGTGTTGCACTTCCGAAGGAGAATCCAAAAACACAAACATAATATTGGGAGTAACTGACTCATTGCCCATGCTGCAGAAATGAATCAAGGGAGCCCAAATTGAATATGGTTCATTATTATCTTACCAAGACGTGTTAATAGATACATCATGTGAAGGACGTGACGGGGGAAGGCACGGTAATTATTCCACCCTGTACTGGCAAGACCTTTGATAGATTGCGCGCTCCTGTTTTGAGTGCTGAGCAAGATGGGTTGGAGGAAGGACAAGGAGAATTGGAACGAGTTGAAAGAGTTGGGCTTGCTGCCTCTAGGAGAGGAGAGCAGCTTTGGGTATAGCAAAAGATTTCGGGGAATGGATGCTCTCTGTCTCTCTGGGGGAAATGGCAGGAGGAAATTGTTTTAACTTGCAGGACAACAGGTAAAATGTTGAAAGTTTTATTTTAAGGACAGATATGTTGTAAATGGAAGGCCCTTCATTAGTGTGTAGTAAGAATAGGCAGTTTTTAAGCACAGAGGAGTGGATTACAGATACGCTCAGGAGATGAGTTTGTGTGGGGGATCTCTTCCAGTCCTCTTACCAGTTCTTCAGGAATGTGTCCCGCGAATGTTCATCCCTGTGATCCGGGATGCACTGTGAATGCTCCCGGGAATGTTCATCCCGCGAGCAGACAGGAATGGAAATCTCAAGCCATCATCTCCAAATGACCTTTTTTCAGTTATGTACTATTTGCATATCTTAAAACTTAGTATTTCTGTCTTAATAGTTAGTAGGACTTTATCATTACTGTGAGTGCAGTTAGCAAGGCCTGCTGTATAAGTATATATGTATATGTATGTACTTTGGAAGAGGCCTTCATGCTAGCTCCTTGGTATCTTCACTATGCATTCATTGCTTCTGGCTGCCTTAACCTGCTGTATCCAAATCTGTTCCCTCACTCTGTCATAATTTGGGGAACCTACCTGTGCACAGTTTGGGATTTTTCCTTGATATGGGTATCTGACAAAATCTATCCCCCTGTTTTATGTGATGGATACCAAATCCCTACTGTCTTTTATGTCCATGCTGACCTCTTATAGAGGAAGTGTTTGTGCCTGGGGCCAGCAGTGCAAAGTCAGTATAATTAGGAAGTATGTTCAAACACAAAATACTAAAGCTGCCATAGCAGAAATAAATGCTTTTCAAACCCTGGGCAAGATGATTGAGTCGTGCGGTGGGACTGTGCTGCAAGGGCTTCGCCTTGCAGAGGGGCCTGAACACTGGACAAACAGGTATTTCGACAGCCGGAATGAAGGGCTTGACACCCGCCAAGGACTCTGGGCTTAAGCACAAGTGGGTCCATCAGCAATGAGGAAGCTGAGGCAGAAAAATGGGCCGGTGCCTTTCGTTGCTTTGTCTGACATTACCTGTACGTGTAGCTTTCTTGCAGCTAAAGGATGTTTGATTTTGGAGCGCTCTGCAAAATTCATGTGCATGCCTGCCTTTACCCGGGGAGGCATGAGCTGCCTAAAGCTGGTCTGTCCAAAAAATGCAGCTCCTGGAAAAGCTGAGCTTAACTAAAAAGCAATTCTGTGGCAACCAGCACTGGTTAAAGGGGCCCCAGGCAGCAGGGTGAAGGAATCTCATGTCTGTCTATGCAGGGGAGCTGGCAGAGGCCCTTGGCCAAAGAGCCTCCCAGCGCCACCCAAGGACAGGCGCGGGGCTGTCCCTGCTCAGGGAGCTTGAAGCAGGTCTGGACTGATGAACCCCATGGAAGGACTTTAAGGAAGGACTTTAGAGCTGTTCACTTTGCCTTCACCCTTCCCGTAACCTTTTTCATCATGTAGGTGCTGGTTACCTTTGATCAACCACAACCAATTATTCCCTGTGGTTTTTTTGTAAGTATGAGAATGAAATGTTTTAAATAATCTCATTTCTCCTAGCAGAGGAATCCTCTAGGATAGACGTATCTCAGTGCTGGCATGTAATTTGTATTTGTTTGTCATTTTCTAGAGTTTAAAGTCTTGAAAATGTTTAGACTGGGAAATACTCTGCAGTTTAGTCACCATCAGTGTTCCACGGACCTGCCAAAAATGTGTTTTTTGAAATATTAACCAAAATTGTGCCCTTAAAATGGAAGCTCAGCAGCTGTTTCACAGTGCGCCGCAGGAGTTAACGGAGCATGCTGCTTTGCACTGCTGGAGGCTCCTCCTTTCCAAAGTGCAGTGTTGTCCATACTAGCCCCAGATGTTGCCCATACTAGCCCCAGGAAGCACTCTTCCTTCCAGCTCTCCATGCAGGATACAGGAATTCCTGCACACGCAGATGCTGGGTGTCTTCTTGGTGGTGTTTTTTGTTTTATGGCTGTAGGGGAAAAGGTATTCTAAGCTTTCTGGTTTCATTTTGACTCACTGTGTCCCATCAGCAAGACGGTGAGAAGATGTAGCTTAGAATGCAGGCAAGACCTCTAGGAAAGACAAGGCTGCAAGCAGAGCGAGTATAAAGTGAGATGCCAGCTTGCACTGAACAGCTGGATGTCTTTCTGCTGGCTTCATTACCATTATTAAGATGTGTCCTGTCTGTGAGCGGTGCTGAGAGAGGCAACTTGCCTTGCCCGGCGAGTGCCGCTCCCCGGAGGTGACACCTGGCGCGTGATTAACACCGGTGGGCACCGTGATCACAGCAAACTCGGGGGGTGTGACTGTCTTCTGCCGCAATGAAGGTCGCAGTGTAAGAAGTGGTTTTAGTTACAAGGATGTTGCATAGAACATAGTTGCATACAGGTAAGGCTACAGGTATTATTACTATTGAATATACAGTAGCAACCAAAATCAGCAAACCAAAATCCGTGAATTTTTCATAGAAGCAATATGCATCTTCGTGCATTTCTCCCAATGGAAAATAGTGTGCAGATTGGCCACCATGATCTTGCATCCTCCGCAGAGGAGTTGCAGTGATAGGGTTTAGCCTTTAATCTCAGAACAATTAGCATATAAACGTAAAATTTGAATTTCAGCTCACTCCTTGTATTTGCTTATGAAATTAAAATTGATTACAGAATGCCTGAGGATGACAGGGACCTCTGGAGATGGTCTAGTCCGAGGCCTGATCCAGCAGGGTCAGCTGGAGCAGGTTATCCAGGACCCTGTTGAGTCAGGTTTTGAATATCTCCAAGGATGGAGAGCCCCAGACCTCTCTGGGCAGCCTGCTCTGGGGTTCAGTCACCCTCATGTTGGAAAACTTCCTCCTCATGTTCAGACAGAGCTTCCTGTGTTTCAGTTTGTGTCTATTGCTTCTTGTCCAGTCACTGCACGTCACTGAGAGGAGTCTGGACCCACTGCCTTTACACCCTCCCTTCAGACATTTGTGCACACTGAGAAGATCCTTCTCAGCCTTCTCTTCTCCAGGCTGATAGTTTTCTGATGATGATAGCTTTATTTGCACAGTATATGTGAGTAAATATTAAGATAACGTAAGAGAGAATATATTAAGTGTTATGATGTTGAATGCTTTGCTAAATGCAAAAAAAAATGTTTTTTTTTTCTTTTATCCTGAGTCTTTTTTTTTCTTTTTTTGTCATAGTGCCTTTGACTTGGTAAACATTCATCTTTTCCATGATGCTTCCAATTTAATTGCTTGGGAAACAAGCCCATCGGTTTACTCAGGAATACGGCATAAGGCTCTTGGCTATGTACTTGATAGGTATGTATTAGCCTTTCTTAGCCTCTCTCGTTCTTCTGTGTTCCTAAGCAACTTATAAAAGATATTCCAAAAGGCACACTCAAAAATGCAGAGATTTTTGTTCTGTGATCTGAGAATAGTCATGCACAACATAGTGTTCACCAGAGTTGTGCAGGTGGTGCCCGTTGCAGAGCTGTGTGTGACACTTGTTTTGAGATAAATTGATGAGAAGCAGCTGCCTGAAGTCATCAAAACTTGTGGAATAGAAAGCAGCTGTGTCTCTTAAAAATGCGCTAGCTAAAATCTTTTTGGTCTGCATGGAGTTAAAAAAAATGTGAAATTCAAGTATGTTGTAATTATAGAATAATAACCTTGGAAGAGACCTCTGGAGGTCTTGTGTCCATGCCCCTGCTCAGACCTCAACAGGTTGCTCAAGGCCACATCCATGCAAGCAGCAAACAGCTCCAAGAACAGCTCATGCCCGTTCTTGATCGCCCTCTTTGTGAACATTTTCTCTTAAAATCCGACTGGAATTCCCCTCCGTGCAGCTCATGTCCGTTGCCTGTTGTCTTGCACTGCTAGGAGCCTGGCTCTGTGCCCCCCACAGCCACCCATTGCACGAAGGCAGCAGTAAAATCCTCCCTTCATCGTTGCTGCAGACTGAATAAATCCACCTCATCCAGCCTCTCCTGTAAATCATGAGCTGCAGCCTCTGTTCGTTAAACCCTGTGGTGTTTCAGTCTCCGTCCTGGCCGAGTGCACCTGGTGGTTGATCTTTTTAGAGCAACGACACAGCGTTTGTACGCAGCCCCCGCTGTTATTAACAGCACCACGGTCCACGGCAGCGTTACGGGGCTGATTCCTCCGCTGCGCCGCAGGACAAAGCTGGCCGCATCCAGCAGTCCCAAGCAGCCGCTCTTTGCTGCTGGCCTGATTAGCGGTTGTAAAGTCAGGAAAAAAAGAGAGCTTTTCCTGGAACAAGAAAACACTTTTGACTGTGAATATTTGGTAAAGTAAACATAAAGCGTGTGATTATAATACCTTGAAATGTAAAGATTCACTATGGGGTATTTCTCTTAAGAGGCGTTGCCTGATTTCTTTTTGCCTGAGAAACAGACCCTTAGAGTCTCTTTGAAGAAGCCGTGAAATACACCCTGAAACACACCCTCGCTTGTGACACTGAGATGGTACTGAAAACAAATTGCTTGGGTTGGAAAAACAAAAACACGGCGACTTTTGCACATTTTTTGCATCATCCCTTCCACCTGAACGCTCACGTTCTGTGAACAGGCTGCATGTTCTGTGGCATCCCGGGAAGTCTCGTGTCCCCGCTCTTGCCATGGCCTCCTGGCCCTGGCCGTGGACCTTGCTCTGCTCCGTCGGCCTGGTGCTCCTGTCACGCTGGGCTCGCGGGAGCAGAAAGGTGCGTGTGAACAGAGGAGCTGGCAGCTCGTGGTGCTCTCGGGACACAGGGGTGCCAGCCGCGCGGCATCCTCCGCAGCGCAGCCCCTGCCCCGGCCCTGGCTGCACAAGGCGCTTGGGTGCTTTTTGCTTTCTGAATTTTCTCTGAGTTAAAGATGGGCGGGTATTTTAGAAAAAGATGCTGCTTTTCTTGCTCTATGTAAGTGCTTTTCCTGCACACCCCAGCAGAGGGCTATGAAGGAACTTCCCCAAAATAGTGTTTTTTTTTTTTTTTTTAAAAACTTTTGGGAGCGATACGTGCATGAAAAGCAAAAAACAGTATGTTTTCTCTTATTTCCCTTTTAAAAGCTATTCAGAGCACCAGAGAATGCTGTGGCGCTAGGAAGAATGGTAAATAGGTTTGTGTTGCAGTGATTTATAAAAGTCCCTGTCCTTCATGCAGGGAGCTGCGGTGGGATCTGGATCCACTCTTGGTGCAGTTTTAAACAGATCTGTGTGTCCTGTTACATGCAGGAAGGGTCTGCTTGCCTTCCGTTTTTACTTTTCTCTGCTGCTCTCCTCTCCTTTCCTTGTGCTTTGCGTTAGGGAACTTTAGCAAACCTGCGCAAGCCTCCTGCATTATTTATTCCACGCTTGTTTACAGCATGCAGTGTGCTTCATTAGCTAATTTGGGCTCCGGACCTCCCACGACGCCCGGCGAGGGTAAGGTAATAAGACTGTAGTATTAGTGTCAGCTGTGGGTCAGAGATGTCATGATGGTATACCATTAAAATGTGACACTGCCAAAACCTGCCCGACTCCCCTGTGCTCGGCAAAGAAAACCCCGGGTTTGGGGTGCGTTTGCATTCACATGAATCGCGCATTTTGAGCGCGCAGCCAGCCGCAGATCCGGACCTCCGTAGCGAGGCGAGGGGCTGCCGCGCACAAAAGGGGACTTCTGTAGGAGCAGTGAATAATGGGAAACCCCTTTCATCGGGGCTGCTAACCTTTTGGCAGCCACCAGCAAACTCTATTGGGACCTGCTGATTGGGGAGGACAATACACTGAAGCTCACTTTGAATGAATGCTGCCACCAACAGTGTCCCCATTCAGCGGGTTTTGGGAACCATCTTTGACCATTGTCTGCCATGGCTCCTCCAGACAGTAGGAAAAGGGAAAGTGAGAGCTGCTATAGGGGGAAAAGTACCTCTTTTCTTGCCTTTAATCTCTCTTTAAAGCTTCATAGATCTACATTTCCAGCTGAGCTACTGGAACTATGCAGTGTCAGATAAATGTAGGAGAGGGAGGTTTCAAGCTGAGCTTTTAAATCCCCTTATCTGCATGAACTAATAATGCAGATTTAGTGCTGTTAAAAACAGAGGCTGATAAGTCTTTTCCTTTAAAGCCTTTAAACTGCTAAAGAGCATTTAACAGGGAGGCAGTTCAAACCCTGCGAACAAAGCAGAGAAGGAAAACAGTTTAATGAGCTAAACCCTCACCGAATGAAGCCCAAACACCTTCTCACAGTTGATTTAGGTCACTGCAGGAGTAAGCGAAAGCACCGCTCTGGTCACTCTGCATCTTCATAAACATGCATTAAGTGCAGCCTTTTCATGTGAGAGGAAACCCACCGCAGTAGTTTGAAGTACAAAATAGCAAAGTGTTTACAAGTAAAGTTCAAAGCAATAAACTCAGCTATTGAATTCGTCAGAGAAACTGATTTGCCAAAATTGTTGTATTCCAAGGTTGTTTTAACACATGGGCATGAAGCTTCTCAAAGTCTCCAAATGACTGGGAAAAGGGTTGGAGGAGCATTAAAAAAAAAGAAAAGAAAGGGAAAAAACTGTCAAGCGGATGATTTAAAGTTACCTTTAGAAGTTTTTTTCTAGAGAATTGTAATAATAATCATAGATATTTAGGGAGCACAAAGGTTTAATCTTATAATGGCATCATGAAGTCATTTGGCTATAATAAAATAGAAGAATGAATAATATACTCAGGAAAATGCTTTTCAAGACAGATAGCGATATGTGCAGAGCCAGATTGCTTTTAACATTTGTCATTTAGGAACTGTGAAGAAAATGTGGTATTACGTGGACTCTTTGAAGACTGAGAGCTGGAATTACTCTGTTTTTAAGTAACTATTTGTTTATATATTTACAAGTACATATAAAATGTATACAGATTAAAGTGCTGCATGTAATGACAGTGCTTAACACTAATGTAAATGCAAAACTAAATTCCTAGATGTCACCTACCCTTTTCCAGATAGATGCAAATACAGTCAAAACTGAACTTGTTTAATAAGTCAGAATAAGCATATCTGCTGTATATTTAGTGGGACAAAAAAATCTTCTGGGCCCATTTTGGTTAACTCAGATGTACGCACAGCTGTGTTTGCATCCCACTTGTGTCTTTGCGTTTTCTAAACTTGAAGGGTTTAAGTCACGTATGAAATTACGAAAGGAAACGCAGCTGGCAGTGCTTTGCTGTAATTAATACTTGTGTATATGTCTTATTAATTAATCGTATCAGCACATCAGTCAGGCATGTTAGGCCCTGGTTGGGACAAAGTGTTTCCTGCAGTTAATACCATGGCCAGGGTTTGAGTAAAGACGACAGAATCGGGTCCTTTAAAAGTATTAGAGAAGTGTCTGCTAGGAGCCGGCGTGTGAGATATTAATTAGCCTGATATTGAGGTTCTCAGTGTGCCAGCCAGTGAAACTTCCCCAAATTATCTAGAGCATTCAGAGCCGTGAAATGAATGTTTAAAAAAAAAGAAAAAAGAAAGAAAGTGACAGTGCTCTTCTGTTTTCCTATTGAAACATTCCCTGGCCTAGTTCAACAGAAACATTTTTACATTACAACTGTGAAATCTTGGCATAAAGCTCCCCTTTGTACCCTTCATTATTTTCTCACAAATATAGTCCATTGTCACATAGCTGAAGTTAATTTGATCAACATTGGGACATTTAACTTTTATGTCCGGTCAAAGGAGCTGTTTCATGCTCATTTTGGGTATTCAAAAGAAATGATTGCCAGAAAAATAATGTTACTATTAACAATTCAGAGCAATTAGTTTCCCAGGGAGAGGCGATGTGATGCACCGGCTCCACACAACTATTCTTTGTCATTTTATGGATGCTCATCAGTCAACTGTCACATCTTCTCAAAGACCCCTCCAATCTAAATGTTTCTCTTTGGGCTTTTCCCAGAACTAGCAGCTGAATGAGCCAAAGAAAAGCCACTTAGTTTCTAGGCAAAGAAAAACTTCACTCTAAAGATCTGGGTCATTTGAGAGAAATTCTAGGAGTAGTCCACTTTTTTTTTTTCCCCTTTTTGATTTTTTTAAATATTTTTGGCCATACTATTTTAACATAAGTGAAAACTCTGCCTGAAATCGTGCATCTTCAGACATTTGATGAAATTTGTGTGTGTTCAAACAGGATGTGCTCCCAGGGCAAATAAACCTGCTCTCCAAATGTCTTCTAACAAAGGTTTAAAACTCTAGATCACATTGAAAAAGACAGCTTTTCATTAAACACCCTGCGGCTCAGCTCGTTAAGATTCAGCTGTGCTCCCCCTCCCCTTAAACTAAGGTTAAGTGCTCTCAAAATTAG